TGGTTACAGCGTGGAACACCCTGTCTACTGGTGTTGCACTGTCCTCATGTGTGGATTCATTCAAGAGTAGACTCGGCACGTATCAAGTTTCCCAATTACCTGCTAAGCATGCAGTCACATAACCAATCACTCAAATCACATACGGATATGCTCCTTGCAATGAGTTAGTAGTCTTTCGTGTTGATCCTTTTTCGACTGGCAGGCAGATCTCTTCTTTTCGTCTGCTGTTATTGAAGCAAACCCTTCCTCAAATTTCCAGTTAACGGCGCTTTTTCGTATGCAATCTGTGACCAATAGGGAGTTTAAATGCGTTCGACTATCTGCGCCTTATTGAAACTCAGCTTAGCTGAAATGCCAGACTTATTTTCCTGATGGTGTTGTCCATCTTTTCTACTCCCATCCACAAGCCCCCTGGAATGTTCCGACAGTGACATATCTTTTTAGGGCAAATCTCGAAGCTGATATTAATATCTTATGAAATTCCACTCCATGGATTCTCGTTTGATCAGTGAGAAATTTTGCTGACACATTTCAGATGCTGCTACTTAACGGATTTCTTCACCAACTGGAAAATGAATGTTTGCGCTGGTAAATATGACGAGGTTCTGAACTCACTTATCCCCGTTTGCCCCCGGTAAGGCGATAACTCATGTTATTGACGATTTTTGCCTTTCACCGAATACACCAGACAGTATAATGTTATAAGCGACAGAGACAAGGGAGACTGGTATGGCCATTTCAGGATTATTATCCTTCGTCAGCCGGTTATACCCAACACTGAGGTGGGAAACACCTGGGGATCGAACTCGCGACCTGTTAGTTAGAAATCCAACGCCTCTAACCACTAAGCCACGGTCTCATTGTCCTGTCGGTTTCGATCGGGAATATACAATGGTGGAGGGACGCCCACCGCTCTAGATATATCACGTGCCGCTGTGCGGCTGCTGGTTTGGCTCGAGAGAGAGAGCCCGTAAGGCACATCGGAACGATTGAGTTTTGTAAGAATGATCGGTGAGCACTCCTCCACCACATCAGACAGTCTCACACCGTCTCTATAATTAAAACCATTCTTTATTTCGTCGAATGGTGTGTCGTAATTTTTGGAGAACTAAGAACCTATTCCAGGGAAAGCGGCTGACATGTAAGATTGAATTTACCCTATGACCTATCAGCGTTCAATTTTTAACCATGCGCTGGGAAATCCAATAACGACAGCTGTCAAAAAATACACACATTTGTTTTTAAAAATGCTCGGGAAAATCTGGCAAAGATTGGCAATATTTAACGAGACCTTTATTAAAAGCCCAAATTAAAATTCTACCGATAATTAAAGTATCTCGGATTGAACCGGTACGCTTCTCGCAATAAGAATATAAGATCACTGGTGCATATTTATTGCCATATCTTTCCCCATCATCTAAACCTCATTCAACCACCATCCTCGTTTCAAATTCGGACACTTATCGTTGTTTTTACATTCCTGGAGAGTTTACTATAAACGTTTTAAATATAAGAGATAAACCACGCTGCACCTCACAAGTTGAACGGCCATGTATACTAGAAATAAAACTAAGACTAGAACGGTTCCCAGAGTGTCAATTCATGTCACAGATTCAATCTTTTGGAAGCAGCCGACAGAGCGTCTATTTGCCGAATGCGGTCAAACAACGTAGAATTGCCATGCTGCATGAGAGGCTGAATGCGTGACAGGCTCCTTCAACTTGCTAACTTTTTAAACGGACAGAGCAAAAATTAAGTATTTTGAACAAAGTAGAAATAAAAGTTGAGCTTTCGTCAGCAGTTAGCATGCTGATTGAAACACCATCTAGAGCATGAGCAAACAGACCACTGAAAATGTTGAATGGCTAAGGTTGCACCCTCATGAATGCACCAATCCGAACACCGGAGTGTTTTTCAACCGCTGAAGAACATTGCTGCTCGTTTGAGCGCAGGAGGAGTTTCGGGCGACCTCGCACCGCTGAGGATGTCGGATGCCTGCCCTTTCCCATGAAATTAGCTTACCGGCATTGCTTTGAACTGGCAGATCCATATAGCCCGA